TAAAACTCAATGAATGAAGTTTATTTCGATGTTCGAAATTTTCGATCGATGTACCGTTTGCCACTGTATACAGTACCTGGGATCTTATTCAAGAACTTCATTTTCTAAATTGAATAGTACCCGTGGGTACTGTGTGAGAAACTGGGTATTATATTTGGAGATATATTATATGAAAAGTAATAAATTTATATAGTTATACTCCCAGGTACTATTCAAGAATTAAGCCAGGTGGGTGGTGAGTAATACCCGGGTTTTAATCAAGGGGTATTATTTTTGGGGGATACCGTATATAGTGGCAAACGGTAGTAATTATTCACCGATTCCACTCTCTACTCTCTTGTCATAACAACACCCACCAGTTCTGACCTCTAATTCTGACTCATCACATACGTACATACTAGAGTGGTAACTCAACTAGTAAATCAAAACTATGTCAGCAGTATTAATAATTTACTATGATCAGATTTTTCATGTTATATAAACAAAGATCAATTTAATCAATTTAATTGTTATAATATTGCTATATGAACATTATTTAATTATCGTTATAGTATTAATTATTGCTATCGCTGCATAAATTGTTATTTATCATAATTCTTGTTATATAATAGTTATTGTTATATTATTGTTAGTTAATTATTGTTTTATTATCGTTATTGTTATTAATGCTATCATAATATTACTTTTGTAATAAAAAGTAAAAAATATCATTTTTAGCCAAATAAATTTTCAACCAATTTATTTGCTTTTTCTTCATATTTATCATCATTATCGAAATTGTCTTGATTCAAATTTGATTTAGAACTTGATTTTGCTTGCTGTTGTTTCTTGGATCGAAGTTCCATCAAATCTAAAGAATTACAACTGATTTCAGAAAGTGAAATATTTGATAATCACAATTTTGATTGTTGAAGATTACTTTTCATATTTGGATGAGTTTTGAGGTCCCATTTATTGAAGAGACCTTCAACTTGTTGTTGGTAAACAATAATGTACCAGATCTGATATTTGACAAATTCAAATATTTTGGGAAACTGATTTAAGAACTTTTGGCTTTTCTGAATAAATTGGAGAAATTCATAATTAAATGTAGAATCATGTAATGCATCTGACAAACCAAAATCATTAAATTCACCATATTCAACATCTGATTCTAAAAATTTCGTATAACATAACTCTCACAAGGTAGAAACTGATAACCAAGACATTTTTAAAATTACAAAAGCAAAGCTTTGTGCAAATTCTCGTTCATATTTTTCACCCAAATGGCAAATACTTAATAGTAAATGGAGCCAGCAATCTAACCATTTTTGGTAAAGTTCTAATGCTTTTTTAATACCACATTCAAGATCTAAAATAAGCTCATTAAGTTGATGATCTTTTAATAAATTAATATTTTCTAACAATTCTTTTTCAAAAAATAAATAGAGATCTTCAACAATATTTCTAAGTTTCATTGTTTTACAAACTATAAAATCAGGCATTTGGTGTGCACATCAGCCTGGAGAAAGATTGATTGACAAAGAATTTTGAATAGATATTTGTAATTCAGGATCATATCCAGTAAGAAACTTAATCATTGGTTCATAAAATTGTTTTCCAAATCAAACAAGTAATTCAACTTGAAGATTTAAAAATGGATTATTGAGCCAATTTTTAAATAATTCCCATTTTTTAATATATGATTTGGGTGTATTATTTCGAGCTTTGAGACGAGCTAAAAACTATTCTGCAAATTGTATGTGAATATTTCTATGCTCTAAATATTGTTCAGCACAAACTAATTTATAAAGCCAACATAACCAAATAGGTCATTAATATTTGGTTAATTTATATTTAAATCTTTCTTCATATAGCATACAAATATAATCTGATCATATACCCATAGGTTTATCTTTATCATTTTTATCATAACCATTATGGAGATCCCATGCTAAATACAAAAGATTTGCTGGATGCTCCTTCTGTGAAAATCTACCAGCATTAAACAACTTTCCAAATGTAACTTCCTCAAAGTTATTCATTATAATATGTGAAATATGAATTCCACATAGAATTCGAAATAGCTTAGATCCACTCATTTTGTTAAATAATGCGATCGCACCTCCAGTCCTACTGCTTATATAGTTTGTATTATCAGAAACACAAACTAAATATTGCTGTA